CTGAGCTTAGCACTTGAAATTTACTTTAGGTATCATCAAAATTAATCTTTTTTTTTGGTTTAGTTAAAGGTAGATCATCTATGTCATGAGTTATGACTAAAGAATTTAAAAGGGATAAATCTCTCATGAAATAGTCCAAGAGAATTGCCAAATTTTTGAGATTTTTGGAAGGCAAAGATATTATGCATTGACTTCCTCAGTAAATCTTAATTAAGTCCAAAACATATATGGGTAAGCTAAATTTCATGCCTTCAAAACAGTACTTAAATAGGGTTTTTTTACTATAATTAAATGGTTAAAATTTAAGTCATAATATAACCTATCGAATTTAAACATTCTGAATCGAATATCAATAGATATAGCTCCAAAACCCATTTTCTAATTTTAACATAGCTTATGGCCTCCAATTTTTTTTTTTATGCTCAACCAAGTCTGTGAGAGAATCAAATTATCAATCATATGCCCTTTATAGAAACCATACCCAACCAACTTATATAATATCCAAACACAAAAATAATTGATTTTTGCTTAAAGAATGGATAGCTTGTAGCGTTAACAAGTCTCCCTTATTCAGGTAGGAATGTCATATTGATATCTATAATATAAAATATGATGGATTTCAATAAGTCAATTCGATAATTTCAAATAGACTCATTTAATGACCACCAACATCCTTCTTAAAATCATTTATATTACATCGTGTTTTTAAACATGAGTTACCGCTAGTGTATATATATATATATATATATATATACACACACACACATAGCCGATACAGTACCAATTGCAACTTTGTTAGTTATGTGTTATTTGTTTATAAATTTAAGGAACGCAGGCTCTGAATAACATAATTTTTAGGGTTTGCATAAGATCATATTTATGTAGTCTTACCTCTAGGGCCGACTCAATGACTAGGCGATTGAAATTGTTGTTCAGGTCCTCCGAATTTTTAGGGGCCCCACTTTTACGAGGTTCGGTTAGGCTTAGTTTTATACTTAAGACTCTCAAAAATGATAGTTTACATAAATGTTTAATTAAGTCCGTTAGTATTTTTAGTACTTATAATAAAATTTTTAGACACAAGTTCCATTAAGCCTAATTTATTATTAGGTCCAGAATAAAATTGATAAACTCATGCTCAAGAAAAGTGCAATTTTATTTTTAGTGCCTCAAAATTTTTTTTTTTGGGGACCTAGATTTAATTAAGTCGACTTTTATTTTTAAAGCCTAAAATAATTTTTTTTATACTTATGTTCAATCAAACTCAATTTGATTGTTAGGGCCCCTAAAAATTGATAAGCAAACGTTTAGATCCAGGTTTAATTAAATTTAATTTTATATTTAGGACCTACACTATTGTGATACTAATTTCTTTAGTAATACTATTCCTTTTGTTCATAAGTCAATACCAATTTGTTTTTGAATCTTTAACTTTTTCTCAATTCAAGATGCCCTTTGGTTACAGTTCCGCGTAGTGTAGGTGCCAAGCATAAAACTGGATTATTTTTTGCATTCAGAAAAGTCCAAGAAAAATATTTGTCACCCAACAGATATTATTTTTCGTCGGTTGCAATTTAGTAATCAAATGGAGGTGAAAAAAATAAAGGGAGAACTGCACTTTGTACCCTAAAATATTTAAGAATTTTTACTTTATATCATTTGATGATGCACAAATTGATAATGTGCAAAATCAACAGTTGAGTATATGTAAGAGTGCAATTAATGAGCAACAAATACGCGATAAATACAATTAAGGTAGGATTACATCTCTGTGCGTATCCCAATATTCTTTCCTTCGTGTTGTGTTCCTATTCCTTCGGAGGAGGATCCTAAGCAGGATTGGATTGGCAAGGCGAGGAGGATTCCATTGAGACGGTGTTTGAGGAAGAGAGAGTGTGGAGCAGAGAAGATTAACCGACACATTCTAATAGGGGCTGTTAAAATTCGATATGACACGATTAATTGACCCGAATTAAGCGAATTTGGATGAGATCTTAACGGGTTTAGGTGATAAAAGGGTTGACACGCCAAACACGTTTAATAAACGGGTCGTGTTCGGGTAAAACCTGTCAAGCCGTTTATCACACGTTTACTAGTTTAAATACAATTAATATAATAATAAATTAATAATTATGTTAAAAAATTAGCAAGAAAAAAGAATTAAAGAAATCAATAAAAAAAAGAAGTAAAGTAGTAGTTTAAAGACAAAAAAGAGGAGATGAGGAGGACTTCAAAGACAAAGACAAAATAATACCTTTTGTTTTTATCCTACATTGAAAAATGAGGGGAGATGAGGATGGTTGAGTTGCTTATTAAAAAACAATAACCTCTTGTTTTTTTTTTTTTAAGCTTTCGAGTCTTATTTTTATGAGATTTGACTAAAAATTTATCTTTTTTGAGGTAAGTACAATTGATAATAAAAAAAAGTAAGACTCGAAGGCTTGTTAATATAATTTTTTTAAAATTAAACGGGTTAAACGAGTTGTGTTGTGTTACTCATGTCTGTGTTTATATATTTTTCACCTGTTACCTGTTTCACCTGATACGTAACCATTTAACCTGACACATAATCATTTAATCCAACACGTTTGACACCCCTTCGAACATTTTTGACACGTTGAAGATATATAATGTAAAAAATTTTATCTTTATAAATACAAATTAAATTTTTTTAAATCTTTTAAGTTACAAAGTGCAATTCACCCGCAAATAAAATTTGCCCACGGTTAGAGAGACATGTTATGTGAAAGTAACTTGAATCTTTGACTTCTCTCAATTCAAGATGCTCTTGGAAACGAAAAAACAGCTATTACAACAGAGACAATTCTTTTTGTGGTAGGAACACCAAAATTTACTATTGGCCAGTTGCAATTTAGTAAGAGCAATCCTATGCTTACAAAATTAGTTATCAAATTTTGTATTTTAAATTAGTGTGAGTGGTTGAATCATTGGAATCCACTAGTTCTACAAAACATTCAAAGTATAAGATTTTGACACATCATTTGAAATATAAAATTTGATAAATAAATTTGGACATCACAATTTCGGCCATTTTAGTAATCACATGCCAAGCGTAGGCATACGCGATTAAGGCTGCCCCCAAAGAGTCCGAAATAAATAAAAAAATTTGGGGTCCAGAAAAATTTTTAGGATCACTTTTAGAAAATTTGTGGCCCTCAGTTGATTGGTTCACTACTTATCACAACATGCTTTGAGAGACCAGGCCAAGAATTATTGAACCCCCTCATGCACCACTTACAAGTATGATACTTTTTTTCATAGTTCAATTAAATTATTTAATTACTTAACGAAAATCAATTCGGTGAGATTCATGTTCTGATCGAGAAAGTGAATTACTTTGGATTCTAAATCAATGTAAATTATAGGATCGATTGGTCTCACAAACTTTTAATAAATATCTAATGACTATCAATGTATCACGTTATTTAGGATCTAAAATTTGATAGAAGTGTTGGTGAACAATTTCATATTAAAAATTAGTCAATTCTAACCCTCTATTTCCTTATCGAGTTTGTGTCTTTTGTATGTATCGTGTTGAAAACTATCACTCTTATTTCAAGTATATCAACTAGAAAACAACAATTTTGAGACAGAAAACTGGAATATTCGAAACTAAAAGGGGACCTCTTCAGTTTTTAACATAAAATGATTGAGTCTCAAATATTCAAGCATGCGAAGAAAGTCAGAATTTCCTTCTATTATATTAGTAAATCATGCATAGGCTTGACTAATGAGATAGAAATGAACTATTTCGCTTTTTGCTTTTGAGCCCTTTTACTAATAAGGTGCTTATTACAAGAATCACTCATTCTTCCATTGGGGATAGGTACACAAACTACAACTTTGAACGTCACACATTCGTTGCCAACCTACCGTTTGTGTGGCATCAATGAGATCCAGAATTATTGTAACCTTAACAAGATTTTAGTAAAAAATCGCTATTCTTTGTCAAAGATAAATATTTGATTCTCATTTGATTAGTTGAAAAAATCTATTACTTCACCAAGATAGACTTAAAGTCAGGATATCACCATGTGGTGGAAGGCATTGAAAGGCCGTGTCAATGACGTGTTTCCTATTTAGATTTTCGTTGATATGCTCTTTTTTTCACGCGGTATTAGCTTTTCTTTAGTTCTAGTTAACCATCCCTATGCGGTATTTACTTTTCTTTAGTTTTAGTTAACCATCCCTATGCGGTATTAGCTTTTCTTTAGTCACGTCATGTATTTGACTTTTGTTGAAGCCATCCCTCTATTTGTGGTTGTAACCTTAACAAGCTTTCAGTAAAAAATCGCTATTCTTTGTCAAAGATAAATATTTGATTCTTATTTGATTAGTTGAAAAAATCTATTACTTCACCAAGATAGACTTAAAGTCAGGATATCACCATGCGGTGGAAGGCATTGAAAGGCCGCGTCAATGACGTGTTTCCTATTTAGATTTTTGTTGATATGCTCTTTCTTCACGCGGTATTAGCTTTTCTTTAGTTCTAGTTAATCATCCCTATGCGGTATTAGCTTTTCTTTAGTCATGTCATGTATTTGACTTTTGTTGAAGCCATCCCTCTATTTGTGGTTGTCAATTTTATGTATTAATACGAATCGGATATGAAGTCGAGTTAATACAAAATTCGAGAATAACATAATTAGTTGATATCAATAATAACACGATTAACGAGTCCTCTAGATAAAAAATAAGTATTTAATGAGTATTGTAGACAAAAAATAAAAATTTTATATATTTTTTTAATTTGTATTATATGAGTTGTTGTGAAATTAAATAATTTTTTATTGATACAAATCCGACAACTACTGAAATGATCCAACACAAAAATAATACGATACAAAAAATGATACGATACATGATTGACGTGACAATAATGTTAATCTGCCATTCATGTTTGTGATTTCCCTCCATTATATTGAGTACAATGTTCATTGTCATTCCAAAAATTGTCTCAACTACTTTGAAGAGGGAAAATGAGGTATCTACTGTTGTTGCTAATATTCCTACTCTCATCGACATCACGACAATCTATTCTTTCATCTTCATCACCGTTGCCAAAGAGCCAATTTCTATGCCTCGACCACCAGAGATCTGCCTTGGTGCAACTGCGGCAAGATGTTCTAAACCATTCCTCTCCTCCTGTTACATATGAAGAAAACTCTTCAATGAAAGTTTTGCAATGGGACCTGGAAAGTGATTGTTGTTCTTGGGAAGGTGTCACCTGCGACGCTGTCGGTCATGTGATCGGCCTCAACCTCAGTTACAGCATGCTTTCAGGTCATATCAGTGCCATATTTAATCTTAGTCATCTCCAATATCTCAACTTAGCTCACAACAACTTCCAGTTAACCCCAATTCCGTCCGGGTTTGGGAGACTTAGGAGTTTGACTCGTCTTAACCTTTCACACTCCTGCTTTTCGGATCAGATTCCGACGGAGATTTCTCGCTTGACAAAGTTAAAATCTCTTGACATATCTACCATTCCATTTTGTGAACGTCCACTGAACTTTGATGGCCCAGACTTTATTCGCGTATATGAATTTGAAGAGCTACACCGGCTCAAACTTGAAGAACCGAACCTCCAGATGTTTGTTCATAACATGAATAATCTCACAGAGCTCAACCTAGATAATGTAGACCTCTCAGCTCAAGGTTCTAATTGGTCAGAAACCTTAGCTAATTCAATTCCTAGACTTCAGTCTTTGAGTTTGTCTTTCTGTTGTCTCTCAGGTCCTATTCATTCTTCCTTCTCGCAGCTACAATCTATATCCCACATCAACCTCGAGGGTAATGATCTGTCTTCTGAGGCACCCCATTTTTTTGGGAATTTCTCGAATCTGGTAACTCTCAGTCTAAGATCTTGTGATTTGCAAGGAAATTTTCCGGAAAATGTTTTGATACTGCCAAAACTACAAAGCATTGATCTTTCGGACAATTCACTCCTCACTGGTCATTTGCCAAAATTTCCCTTCAATAGTTCTTTGCGGCAGTTGAAACTGTATAACACAAACTTCCGTGGGAAATTGCCAGACTCAATTGGTAATCTCATGTTCTTGACTCATTTACTCCTCTCTTCTTCTAATTTCATTGGGTCGATCCCATCATCACTTGCCAACCTCACCCTAATTGTTGAATTGGACCTTCGTGGCAATAGCTTCAGTGGTTCAATACCTTCATTCCATGCTAGCGCAGTCCCAAACCTTGCATTCCTTCTCTTATCTAGCAATCTTCTCAATGGAGTGATATATTCCTCGTTGTTTACTCTCCCATCGCTGCAAGGCTTATGTCTTGACAACAACCATTTCAGCGGTCAGCTTGAGGAGTTCTCAAATGCATCTTCTTCAGAGTTGAAATGTCTATATTTTAATGGAAATGATTTGAGTGGTCCAATACCAAAGTCAATCTCGAAACTCCCAAGGCTTGTCTATCTCGAACTTGCTGCTAACAACTTTTACGGTACCATGAAGCTTGACATCTTCCAGAGCCTCAGAAACTTGAATTCTCTCGACCTCTCAGACAACAAATTGTCAATTGAAGGTGACAATGGTAGCTTTATGCTTCCCAATCTTGCCGCCTTGAAACTGAGTAGGTGCAACTTGACTGAAGTTCCAAAGTTCCTCAAAAATCAAGTTGGGTTAAAGACTCTGAACCTTTCCAACAACCAAATCCATGGCAGCGTTCCCAGTTGGATACGGAACAGCGGCAGTCTTTATGAGTTGGATCTTTCTCAGAATGCAGTTGATTTCCTTGAACAACCTCTTCTGGATGACTCAAACCAGAGTAAAACGGTCATTGATGGCGGTAAAAACCCTTCCTCTTCAGTTCTAGGCGTATTGGCCTTGCGCTCCTGCAACTTAAGTAGATTTCCAGATTTCCTGAAAAACCAAGATAGTCTGTTTTACATCGACATGTCAGATAACAAAATCAATGGCCGAACCCCCAGCTGGATATGGAAGAAGAACCTTCGGTATCTAAATATTTCTCACAACTTCTTATACGCTTTGGATGAATTTCTTCCTAGTATGTCTACTCCACTGCAAACTCTTGATCTTCATGACAACGTGCTTGAAGGATCACTCCCTACAGCAATATGCAATTTGAGCAGCCTATCTATTTTTGATGCTTCTCAGAACAAACTAAGCGGCTTGATCCCGGAATGCCTAGGTAAGATTGGCACTCTCTCTGTCTTGAACTTAAAAGGGAACAACTATCATCGTATCCCTCCTGATTTTGCTTTAGCAAGGAATCTTCGTTCTCTGAATATCAATGACAATCAATTGGAGGGACCCCTTCCACGATCTTTAGCGAACTGCACAATGCTAGAGGTTTTGGATCTTGGCAACAACAAGATATCAGATACATTTCCATTCTGGTTGGATAAACTGCCTGAATTAAAAGTTCTTGTCTTGCGAGCCAATAGATTTCATGGGCAAATTGATCGTCATGGAGGTAAATTTGTTCTCTCCAACTTGAGGATAATGGACCTATCTTCCAATGAATTTACAGGTGAGCTGTCCAAGGACTTCTTCCAAAGTCTGAAGGCGATGGCTGCGACCAGTGGAAATAAATCAGAGCCGAAATATATAGGAGACTACGAATATTATCAAGATTCTGTGACAGTTACGAGCAAAGGAATTGAGATGGTACTCGTGAGGATCCTAAACATATTTGTTTCTCTTGATCTCTCCAACAATAAGTTCCATGGTGAAATCCCGGAACAGATAAAGGATCTCAAATCCCTTGTTGTGATGAACTTTTCTTGGAACAATTTTGATAGCAACATTCCATCATCACTAGGGGACTTAGCTGAGCTTGAGTCACTCGATCTATCAAGAAATAAACTCTCTGGGACAATTCCTCAACAACTTACAAGCCTTACATTCTTGGCAGTGTTGGACCTCTCTTATAACCAACTATGGGGACATGTTCCTCGAGGCAACCAATTCAATACGTTCTCAATTGCCTCTTACGAAGGAAACAGAAGATTATGCGGGTTTCCATTGTCGACAAAATGCAAAGAAACTGATGATGCAGTACCACCAACTTCAGAAGGTGAGAATTCAGAGGATGAGAGCATGTTTGATTCAAGAACTTTGTTGATGGGATATGGAAGTGGAGTAGTAATTGGAATTTCAATTGGATACACACGGTGGTCCAGAATAGAAGATATCTGGCTCATGAATTTTGGAGGGCGAGGAAGAAAGCGAGGAAGAAGCTCAAAGCGTGGTCACAGGTTTCAATCAGGAAGATGGGACCAACAGTAGGTAACTACATGTTGCTTAGCTAAACTTCAGCATTCAGATGTGTTATTTTATTCATGTAGTTTTAGATTTGGGTGTCATGATCAAAGATCCACCATGTTGGTGTGATGTCAATGTCTGGAATTCCCAGTGAATTGCAAGTTCAGATTGATTGAATCACATATCAGTGGTCATGACCAATATCTAGAGGTGGGAGTCGTCTGATATTTTGTACAGGTTGTAGATTTTTGTCAAGTACTAATCAATACTAATTCTGCCCATTTGATTTGTACTGACCTTGTGTTGCATTCGGATCGACACGTAAATCACAAACCTAGGATTACTTAATGTCTAGGACTAACCTAGGACAAGAGCTCCTTTGTCTCTCAATTAGACTCACCACACATATGTACCCCATAAAATAAGCTGCAAAGGGAATTAATACATTGGAGTCTCTCTCTCTCTCTCTATCTCTCTCGATCACATTTCATTGGGCTTCTTTACTCTTTATTTATTTCATTTTCTGAAGTTGTTTGGACTGGCTCTTAATAGATCCTTTAGTTCAAAAGTCACTTCTGAGGTATGGCTGGATGGGAAAAAAATTAGACCAGAAGTTTGGCTGTCATGAGCATGGTAAGCATTTTCTTTCTGGTCTTGGAAAGCCTTGGTTACTAGCCAAGTTGGGTCCTCTGTAAGTCCACAAAATCAGTTCGATTTGCATATTTTTATGTGGAAAGTTACTGGCATTTAAAATTTTTTACTGAGTGATAGAATAACATAAAAGGAGATGCACCTTCCAAAAAAAAAAAACATAAAAGGAGATGCTACGATAGGAGTCATTATTCCTGCGTTCTTTGGTTTGATGATGAGCTACAACCTTGTTGTAACTTGTTAGGAACTCTAATCGAATTGTGTACTTTTGCCTTAAGATGAATATATGGTTGTTATCAAGGCCCTTTTGTTAGAAAATTCACACGAAATTCTCAAACCTGTGGAAAACAAAAATAGAGAAAACACGCGCCAAAGAAAAATAATCACACGTACAAGACAATATCTACGTGATTCAGTAATTTGCCTACGTCCATGAAACTGCAAAGATTTCACTATTATCAAGAAAGAATATAGAGCGACCGTACAAAGTTAATCAAACCCTAATCACCAAAAATAACAAGTTTTATATGTCGTGCACCGGGCTACAAAGTGGGCAAAATTTTTTTTTCTCGGGGCAACAACCCCCACGAGGCTTGTCCATGAGCACAAGCCCAAGCCTCTGCTCCATGGACTAAGTCTCAAAAAATTTTCATTAAAAAATCACACAACAATTATTTCGGGTCAGGTATCATTTGGATCAACACAAAAAACTAGACTCCACAAAAGTCTAACAAATTTCCCACTTGGAGATTAGTTCAATATCAACATCAACTGCAATCCTCCAAAAAACACACAATCCCTCCTCCTTGTAACTCATCCTCCTGTCCTCAAGCAAGAAGGCCAACTGAAGCTGCACACAACTTCAACTTCTTAATAGTGACACCCTTAGTCAAATGTCTGTCGGGTTCTTAGTTCCATAGATCTTCTCAAGTATCAACTGACCATCATCAAACATAGACCGTATGAAATGATACCTGATCTGAATGTGCTTCGTCCTGGAATGAAATGCTGAATTCTTGGCAAGGAATATGACACTCTGACTATTACTATAAAGAGTACCCTTTTGTTTCTTTTTACCCAGTTTCTCCAATAAACTCTGTAACTAAATCATTTTCTTTGAAGCCTCTGACACTACAACATACTCGGCCTCTGTAGTAGAAAGGGATATTGTCTTCTGCAGGTTAGAACCCCAAGACACGACAGTACCGCCCAAGGTGTAAACAAAACCGGTGGTGCTCTTCCTACTATCAGTATCTCGGCCAAGTCAGCATTAACAAAACCCTGTAACTCCAACCTATCTATGGTGAAACACAAACATACTTCCGAGGAACCTTTTAGGTATCTCAGAATCCACTTCACAGCCTTCTAATGTTGTCTTCCTAGGTTGCTCATGTATCTATTCACAACTCTCATTGCATGGGCAATGTCCGGTCTTGTGCAAACTATAGCATACATAAGTGAACTAATAGCTGAAGCGTAAGGAACCTTACTAATGTAGTTATGTTCATCCTCTGGCTTGGGTGACTGATCTTTGTTGAGTCTGAAGTGACTACCCAAGGGTGTACTCACTGGTTTAGCTTCATTCATGTTGAACTTGCTAAGAATTTTCTTCACATACTCTGACTGTGAAAGCTTCAATGTACCATTAGCTTTGTCTCTAATGATTCTTATACTAAGGATTTGCTTTGCAGCTCCCAAATTCTTCATTGAAAACTGTTTTGACAATTAGTTCTTTAGATTATTAATCTCCTCAATGCTAGACCCTGTAATGAGCATATCATCCACATATAACAATTGCCAAAGAACTTAACATAACAACAATTATTAGCTTCACATCTCTTGAACCCAGTTCTATGCATAAAATTGTCAAATTTCTTATACCACTGTCTTGGAGCTTGTTTTAGACCATACAAGCTCTTTCTCAGTTTGCAGACTAGATTCTTTTGTCCCTGAATAATGAACCCTTATGACTAAATCATGTAAATGTCTTCCTCCAAGTCACCATGAAAGAATGTCGTCTTCACATCTAACTGCTCAAGATGTAGGTTTTCTCCAGCCACCATTCCCAATACCAGTCTAATTGTTGACATCTTTATAATTGGAGAAAATATTTTTGAGAAGTCAATACCCTTCTTCTGCTAGAACCCTTTGACAATTAATCGGCTTTATACCTCTTGCTACCATCATGCTCATTCTTAATTCTGTATACCTACTTGTTGTGCAAAGCCTTATTCCCTACTGGCAATTCAGTCAGTTTCCATGTTTGATTCCCCAACAAGGACTCCATCTCATCCTTCATGGCTAACTCCCATTTGCTTGAATTTTCATCCTGCAAGGCTTCATCATAACACTCTGGCTCACCACCATCAGTCAACAGGAGGTAATTTAGAGTGGGTGAATAACGCTGTGGAGGTCTAATGGTCCTGGAAGATCTACGAACATCAGTTACAGGTGTACTCTGATCTACCTGTGATTCTACATTCTCTTTATCTTCTTCACCCTCTTTCTGGACAGGACTTTCAGTCAATTCATCTAAGTTGACAAACTCAAATTTCTTCTGATCTATCTCTGTGACATCTGACAGTACAGTTGACCTGTTCTTGTACATAACCTGTTAATTAGATATCACATTTCTACTTCTGATGATTTTTCTATTTTGTTCATCCCAAAAACGATAACCAAATTTCTCATCACCATAACCAATGAAAAAACATATTCTAGACTTTGCATCAAGTTTAGTACGAGCATCAGAATCAATATGAACATATGAAACACAACCAAAAACTTTTAAATGAAAAAACTTTACTTCTTTACCACTCCATACCTCTTCAAGAAGTATGAACTCCATGGGAACTGAAAGTTATCGATTTATCAGGTAAGTTGCAATACTAACGACATCAGCCCAGAAAG